TTTCAAACCTTTGTGATACATTAGCATGGGATTTATTTACTTGTATACGATACTAAACCAAGTCTGCAAGTCCTGGTGTTATGCTCATGAAGCCAATTGTCAGGCAAGGTAACAAAATGCAACATCAATTAACGTGTTTTAATATGACATGGCAAGGGGCTACATCCACCGACCTTCCGCTCTCGGAGCAGACACTCTTCCGACTACGCTGTCTGTCCCTAAACCGTACTAATTATCTCGTCAACAAAATATGCCCGACTACATATGCATTATGCATTTGCTCGTCCATGTGGTCGTGGTCAGAGATCATCCCGCTGAACTCATGGTTCACCGACGTTAACACGAACCTTACCCACTGATGCTGAAGTCTTACGTTGAAGGTCAGTAAGTGACCTATACGTTCATGGCCTTGTAAAACGTCACTTCAAACATGACAATAAAATCAGGCCATGTTGTAAGGATAACCTGACAAAATAAGGACGTGGTTAACAGAAGTTCAAGTCTCCACTGACCTCCCGGACACGGCGCGTGGCCATTTGTACTTACGTTGTATGGTGATTACGAATACAACGTTAAACGATAGTGCTGGAGGCAGTTACGGGACTCTTAATGCGAGAGAAAGGACAGTACATACATACATTACGTAATGATTAAACGGGGTTTCCTATATGTTGACTGGTGATCTACCTTCAGTTGTTGGCGATCTCTAGCCTGTTTTATATTGTCTTGTCATGTATGGTAATATTTAATGTTTTAACTTTAATTACTAGTTTGAACATTTATATTTGTGATAGTCTAATTATTTTACTGTTCTTCGTTGATGGGTTTTTTATACTTTTCCTATAATTATTATTAATATATAACTTGATATAGTCACGATATGGCTGAAATACTGCCGATGTGACTAAAAATCTTAACTCACTCACTCACTCCTACATGTTGAGGACTACAGTTATAGTGAGTGAGTGAGTTTAGTTTTACGCCGCTTTTATCGCTTCCAACAATACCACGTCGGGGGACACCAGAAATAGGCTTCATAAATTGTACCCATGTGGGGAATCGAACCTGACGTGACGAGCGAACGCTTTAACCACTTGACTACCCCACCGCCCCACTACAGCTATAATAACCATCATTCAATGTTAAACGATAACATTAATAGTGACCATTGTATGTTGTATGAGAATACTGAACATATTGTATAGTCCGTTTGGCTCAAAAGCGGACCGATGAATTGCAATCTAACTCGAAAACTAATAAACATAAAATATTCAATGAAACGCTGATCATAATCAAAACATCATACCCACTCTGTGAGTTTTTTGCAGAATTTTTGTCCTAAAAATAAAAAAGTTGTTTAAAAAACTATCATTAAAATATTGACACAGTTCACTATTTGTTACGAGGGAAGAGTGCAGAGAAAGGGACAGCCAGGTGTTCGAGAAACACGTTCACAGACAAAGTAATTTATTCATTAACCTGTGCTGTGCCGTCTCCATCCGTTCTCGAACATCTGGCTGTCCCTTTCTCTGCACTCCTCCCTCGTAACAAATAGTGAACTGTGTCAATATTTTAAATATGATAGATTGTTAAACAACTTTTTTATTTATAGGACAAACATTCTGCAAAAACCTCACAGAGTGGGTATGATGTTTTGATTATGATCAGCGTTTCATTGAATATTTTATGTTTATTAGTTTTCGAGTTAGATTGCAATTCATCGGTCCGCTTTTGAGCCAAACGGACTATAATTAACCTGTGCCTTACGATTCAGTTTCTGGTGTCCCACGCTGAGACAGTCGGATTCATGACAATACATATTTCTACAGCAAACTTACTCCATCGCTTGCTCTGCACAGAGCTTGGATGACATCACGTGGAACCGCATAACCTATGTAAACAAAGGATCGCTACGCAACTCGAAATAGTGTTACAGGTTTTAGGATATTTTCTCAGTGAAACTAAACCATTCACACAATGATGTTTAATTAGATGTGTAGACTCGTCAAAAATAAAAGAGTTAAGAATATATGTACATTATGTTGAATGGACGGTGCAAGATGTGACGAACTTTCTGGCCTGTGGCAGAGGCACTATGCTGGCTGGCCGAATGGAACTCTGGGTACGAGAGTGTTTATTGACGCAGAAACCTGAGTATAGCTTTACACCGTGTGGTTTTATGCATCTGTAGTTTTTTTGTACTAATTTGCATTTGCTGAAAACATATATATACTTTGTAAGATTCATTTTGCATTAATTAAGTTTGATGTTTTGCAGCATGACACAGTTTGTTATGGCCGTCATTTTAACGCAGCACAATATATGATCGAAGACAGTAACTCTCTCGAAAACCTATGATTCCTCAGAAAAACTCACCACGATCTCTGATTCCCACCAAGTATGAATGTAACAACGAACTCTTACACCTCAGTACAACATGCGTGTTGCAGGAGTGAGTGAGTTTAGTTTTAAGCCGCACTCAGCAATAGTCCAGCCATATGGCGGCGGTCTGTGAAAAATCGAGTCTGGACCAGACAATCCAGTGATCAACAGCATGAGCATCGATCTACGCCATTGGTAAACGGTGACATGTGTCAACCAAGTCAGTGAGCCTGACCATCTGATCCCGTTTTGTTGCCTCTTTCGACAAGCATGGGTTGCTAAAGACCAATTGTAACCCGGATATTCACGGGTCTGATTGATAAACGACTTACAAAGGAAATTCGTTCCCACGCACTCGCCAGTTAGTATGTTTTCTCTTGCCAGGTGTTTCTGACATTATGAGACATCATTGTGTACATATTCGGAAGTTCTCTCTCACATCTCTGCTATGTGTTTCTTAACCACACATATGACTGTTTGGATTATTTAGGATAAAAACAACTGTCAAATTAATGACTTCCTTGTCTGGTGAATCCATTGTTGACTTTAACACTGACACGTCATATGTGTGCCGATTCCGTGGCTCGTCCGATTATTCATAACACATAGACATATTAGCGTTATATATGGCCAGACAAATGTAATTCTATTTACCATGTTTTCACCCCAATATATACCCCAGAATAAGAATAATTTGAAGTATAGACTATCATTACTATAGAAACAGATCCCAACTTTCTCGAACATAAAGTACGCACTCAGTTTTAAACTCTGAAAAATACCCCCCTTCTACACACACAGACATACATTCACATACATACACAGACATACATACAGTCCGACAGACAGACAGAGAGAGAGAGAGAGAGAGAGAGAGAGAGAGAGAGAGAGAGAGAGAGAGAGAGAGAGAGAGAGAGAGAGAGAGAGAGAGAGAGAGAGAGAGAGAGAGAGAGAGAGAGCGAGAGAGAGAGAGAGATTTTACTATGGAAGTGTAATCCAAATAATAATAATATTGTCTCTTCAAGACGTCATTACGTCGTGATTATCACCGCAACCAGAAAACAAGATCCGAGCGACGTTTCTGACGTCAACGGCCCTTCTCAGAATCTTTATTGTTTCGGTGAGGTTGACGTCAGGTCACAGAGGTCATACATTCGCACCCCATTGACCCTACAGCACGGACAGGCACAAACAGATTACGTCAATTGGACAGACTAGTTCTTTTTGCCTGACGTATTCAATGACGTGAAGCGGTTATCTCTCGGTCAGTTTGGCCATTACCTCGCCTTCTCTCATATGCGACTTATGCTGTACACCAAAAGGTTCAGTTTGTGTTTATCAGACCCTTCACCATCGAGTTCAAGTGACACATCACAATATAATATAATGATAAGAAGAATACTTATAACGCGCCTTTCCAGGCTTTACATCCTGCTCAAGGCGCACAAGTTGAGTTGTCAAAGGGCACAATCTGATTATTAATACCCCGGATAACCCAAGCTGTCTGTGAGGCGCTAGAAGGTTAATAGTCACATGACTTATCCCACCGGGTACCCATTTTCTGCTGGGTGAACAGACCAATGTATCACATCATCACATGTGCATCGTTGCTTCGTTGTGGAAACAAATTCTCAGGAGTCAAGCTGCCAAACACGGCCACAAACGGCTTATATTCCTGCACTGGCTCATCCATGGTTCACTTTAAGCGTGGACAGAGCCAATAGTGATTGAGTATTTTTTACGCCGCTGTTAGCAATATTCCAGCAATATGACGGCGGAAAAAAACCCAGAAATGGGCTTCATATATTGCCCCATTGGGAATTGAACCCGGGTCAAACGCTTTAACGACTAGGCTACCCCACCGCCCCGGCAGAGCCATGACATGTATCTTCAGTCACATCACACTATCGTCAGTTAGTAACAAATTGGAATAACTGTATGTGCTTGTGGTTAATGTGTGTGTGTCAGTGTATGATGGACGTGGTCATTGTGTGTGGGTCAGTGTAGGATGGACGTGGTCAATGTGTGTGTGTCTGTGTAGGATGGACGTGGTCATTGTGTGTTTGTGTGTGTGTCTGTGTAGGATGGACGTGGGCAATGTGTGTGTGTCAGTGTAGGATGGACGTGGTCATTGTGTGTGTGTGTAGGATGGACGTGGTCATTGTGTGTGTGTGTAGGATGGACGTGGTCAGTGTGTGTGTGTGTATGTGTGTGTGTGTTTCACTCTGTGTGTCTCTGTGGGTGAAGGACGTTGGCAGTGCGTTGGTCTCTGTGGGTGAAGGACATGGTCAGTGGGTGTGTCTCTGTGTAGGAATGATGTTGTCATTGTGCCCTTGTGAACGAAGGACATGGTCACAGTGGATGTATTTCTGTGTGTGAAGGACGTGATCAATGTGTGTGTGTGAGTTAGGGGATGGGAAGAGACGTGTTTGGTGTCATGGTTTGTTATTTCAAGTTAAGGTGACCCTACTGAGAGATAAAGTAGAACGGGCGTGAGAGAATATGGGTTAGTAAATGTGACAGGAAAATAGACACAGATAGCTTCTCATAGAACCGTTAGGAAATTCTTTCTTTATGTAACATGAGACTCTTGTCTGAAACTGCCAGCCTACCTCTGAGACACGTGCGGTGTGCATGAGCGCTGCAGTTCGAGGCAGGTACCCACAATGGGCCTAGTACGCTACGTGTTTACATATTAGTGAACCGTCCTCAAGAGCTAAAAATACATACAGCTAGGTTTCCTTGCTCTGGGATATGAACAGTCAACCAGAGAAGGACACCCATAAGCATGAAGATCTGGACTCAGAATTTATACGTGCTGATGCATGCTGTATTTCTTATCATTCTCACATGCACTTTACATCCACAAGTGGCCAGGGGGCAGTGCGTGCCCCCGGGAAGTACCCCCGGGCTGCGGGACTTGGTGCTGGGGAGATGTACGGAGTACCAGGCCATCGTACACCCAACACACTTCTGCGGCAACGAGTAAGTGGAACACCTGGGTTGTTTAGTTGTATTTTGTTTCTTTAGTACAGCTATTGGAAGGTGGACTTTAAATTGTCACGTCTGACCCAGACAATCCTGTGAGTCGCGTCTTACGGCAAGCATGTATTGCTGATGGTGAAAGGTTGAGGTCGTTGGAAATGTTATACTTCTACATCTATTTAGCTCGTTTGTTCTTTCGTTCAGCAAGCCGAAGACCGGGGTGGGGTGGGGGTGGGGTGGGGGTGGGGATATGTGTATGGTTTCCCCATAACCCGTAAAACACTAATATACCTTAGACACGTGGTGTTATGTTCGTCAAAGCACGTGAACAATAGGTTTGATATTTCAATCTATCACGAGAATTGTAAACCGTGGAGGAGCGGTGGGGTAGCCTAATGGTTAAAGCGTTGGCTCGTCACGCCGAAGACCCGGGTTCGAATCCCCACATGGGTACAATGTGTGAAGCCCATTTCTGGTGTCCCCCGCCGTGATGTTGCTGGAATATTGCTAAAAGTGGCGTAAAATCAAACTCAGTCAGTCAGTGTAAACCATGGAATATCATCTTTTGTAACTTGTCTAAAGTACTGAACATGTTCTTTCTATAACTAACACATAAATATATGGCAGTTGAGTGAGTCTGGCGAAAAGATATTAATTAAATATCATGGATATTAAAACGTTAGCTGAATGTATCAATGATGTGCTACAGTCGTCAGTTTCAACAAGCAATGGCGGACTGGGGACCAATTTTGTCCCGCTCCCCAGAAGTGCAGATTCAATTTGGGTCTAGTTGTACGCGAGTGAGTTCAGGACGCTAAGTTCGAAGCATATTCATCACATTCCTGTTTAAGTTAAGTGGTTGCAACAGATTTACTATTAAAAACAATGATCATTTGGTTCCAGCCAGCAAAGGAACAACTGCACTGAAATAACAGATAACTTCTTGACAGCGTTCTCCCATCAACCGGCGTGTAACGTGACGTTCAGCCGCTATGACAACTTCATCCGGGCAGCTCATACTGACGTCACTCGCAACAAGGTGAGTCAGCACTTTTGACAACCATCACGTTTGTTACATTATCCTTTAAGTTTAGTTACGGCTCCTGAATAAGGTTCGGATGTGCCCATTATTGCCTCGAGGACACAATTCTCTTCATGGCTGCAATCAAAATAGTGATACCAGTGTTTGTATGCTTGGTTGTTGTTAACCTCCGGGGGCGGTGGGGTAGCCTAATGGTTAAAGCGTTGGCTCGTCACGCCGAAGACCCGGGTTCGAATCCCCACATGGGTACAATGTGTGAAGCCCATTTCTGGTGTCCCCCGCCGTGATGTTGCTGGAATATTGCTAAAAGCGGCGTAAAACCAAACTCAGTCAGTCAGTCAGTGTTAACCTCCGCACTAAGCATTATTCCAGCTACATGAATGCGGTCTGTAAATAATTGAGTCTCGACCAGATAATGCAATGATTGACATCATGGTCATCGATCATCTATAGGTATACGATGACATGCATCAATAAAGTCAGCGAGCCTGACCATCCGATCATGTCAGTCGCCTCTTACGACAAGCATCTTCTAACGGGTGGTCATATCAGTACTTGGCGATCACTAATGAATCAGTCTGAACAAGGCAAACCGGTAAACAAAAGTATGAGCACCGATCCATCTACTCGATGTAATGTTGGCAAGATAACGGAGTTCAACCACCTGATCTATTTTCCAACCAGTTCCAGTTCATGGCTCTTGGTGAGTTTTTAATGTTGGATCATGCCCCGTGGTAAGTTAAAGGCACAATTGTACACATTTTCGACAATAGTTTGGCCTATGCTATATATATTTGGGCATATGCTCTCACTTTAGCGTCCTACTGATGCAATAGAAGACTTATTATCCCTCACGACTTGCCTGAAATCGATAATTGAAACTTCCAGGGGAACAGCTTCCAAACAAAGAACACTTGCCATATATGGAATGTAAACAATTGCTGCGCACATCGAAAACTGTCGCACGCGGTGTTGTCGTTGTTTACTGAACTGGTTTCAATCACAAGTTGCGCGTATGACATAACTCTATGGCGTTCGCTTGAAATAATGTTCGGCCGGTAGAGGGCGCGAGAGTCGATTTAATGCAACGTCGCATTAATTCATTCGAACTTTTTAATTCAATATTGTAATATTAATGCGTAATTTTGTGGGGAATAAATTATATGGTAGCTTCTCAGAGGACTGATAGATAGTATTATTGAGAGAAATGCATTATTTATTTTTAGAGAAGTGTGATGTGAAATAGTGCCTTTAAGTTGAGTTGAGAAATATTGATATATTCGATGTTACATTGGCCGTGGTGAGTTACAGAGATGGTGGTTTCTGGTGAGTGATCGTGTCAACGCGTGGATATGCGTCAACTGGGGAATTAGCTCATAATTAAGATGAAGTGTGCGTTGATGAAGACGAAGGCATAGTTGAGTTCAAACGTCTTTAGTACATGACAAACAAATACACAAGACATGAGCGAGGTGAGCGGAGTACCTGCTCAACCCCGGTGCGTTTCCTACGAGCGGAATTATCCTGCTCGTGGTCGTCCCAACGGACAGTCCCAACACCCAGATACCACAGTCCAAGCAAGTACATGTGTTTCTCCCACAGAGATCTGATCACAGCCATCAATATGGAGATCCTGTATTCATACAGAAAATACCTTAAGGACATCTTCAAGATGGACATTGTGTACAACAGAACTCATCAGGACTTAGTTATCTGTGTGTTCTTAAATGGACTCAGTTCAGGATATACAATGTGTTACTGTTAATAAGTGCAACCAGGTATGTTAGATCACAGGCCAGTACATTATTACCATAGTGACTAATTCAGGACAGCCATCGTCCTGAATTAGTCACTATAACAATCGGAACTGAGGATGTGCCGTGGTAGTTATGGTGCATGGTATGAGTGTTAATGAACTTTCATTGTGCTGGTAGATCATGGTTAGGTAATAAGAACTGGTGAAGGTTTATTTGTTGTTTAATGCCGTTGATGTTCTGAGGAGCTACTCTCACTGGGAATTCTCATGAGCTGGTATACTGAAAACTTATTCTCACTGCGAAATATCGTCAGTTGATGTGGGATGTCTGATGAATTGATGTACTGAGGACGTACTGTATCAGTGAATCTAACATGGGGACATATTTGAAATATATTTCCTGCTCTGTAAATTTTAGTAGGTTTGTATTTTTGTTTCAGGCTATGTTCTGGTCAGATGTGTATGGCGTCGTCCAACAATACACCAAGCTCGGCCAGCGGGCCATGGCCTTGGAAGACACTCTCATAGGTGCCGTTGTATATATATATAGACGTTGTGTGGGATTTTACGTCTTCTTCAATCTGTCTGACTGCCAGCATCTCAAAGTTTTTAGTAGTCTGCACACAGTCCCTGAACCATATTATTTTTCTCTACAGCCTAGCCTTCCCTACAGTGCTAAAGCTCTAAATGAAGCACGTCTAGATTTCCCCAGGTTCTGAATCTCTGGTCTCCCTGGGGATCCTTTTCAATCTTAATGGGTTTATTTGTTACAGTCAAAATTACAATATTCAGAGACTAAGCGTCAGTCTGAGTTTTTAGTTGTATTAGTAAAACAAATGTTTTTTTGTCATGTAAATTACATTTTCCACAGAAATCTGATCGCTATTTCTTTCTAAAATGAGAGAGTTTAATTTGCACCCTAAGAAAAAAGGAACGCTGTAAACGTGATATGTATGACCGGGAAGGTTATCAGACATCCAAAGAGTAATTCTAAAATTGATCTAATGCTGACGTTTAAATACCTTTATAAATGCTAAAATACTGAGGGAATCTTTTTTTCTGCCGACTCAGTTGTTTCTAGACTAACCTGTCTGTGAGTGAGTGAGTGAGTTCTGATGTTGAGTCACATCGGCAATATTTCAGCCATATTGTGACTACAACAAGTTATATATTCCTGGCACATAAACTTAGAATATATACACCTATGTCTGACTGACTGACTGAGTCTGGTTTTACGCCGCTTTTAGCAATATTCCAGCAACATCACGACGGGGGACACCAGAAATGGGCTTCACACATTGTGCCCATGTGGGGATTCGAACCTGGGTCTTTGGCGTGACGAGCCTACGCTTTAACCATTAGGCTACCCCACCGCCCATACACCTATGTATGTATGTATGTATGTATGTATGTATGTATGTATGTATGTATGTATGTATGTATGTATGTATGTATGTATGTATGTATGTATGTATGTATGTATGTATGTATGTATGTATGTATGTATGTATGCATGCATGTATGTACGCGTTCTCATAGTCTGTGACGCTTTTAATCATGCATAATCCTAGCGTGCTGTATGGTATTAATCGGCAACAGACGCATGTTATTTTCATCTAATATGCAAAACCATACATGTCTCTGTGTTTTGCTACTACTGTTAGTGATTTATGGGATTGGTGTGTTTGTTTGTTTGCTTGACTACCAAGTAATGGCGTCATGTTTTGAACCAATGTCGCGTACCCAAACCAGGCCGTTGGCGTGTCAAGGTTAGCCTTTCTGAGGGCGGCGCTTCTTAACAGTCGCTCAGTTATAGAGATGAATATCAGCTCCTCCTCGAACCATCTTGTACTAAGGGCCCACTTAGTTAAGATTCCAAAAAAGCTGTAATGTACATCAGTCCTTAAGCCAACCCCTTAAACCCCTTTCCAGTTTGGGGCGGTGGGGTAGCCCAGTGGTTAAAGCGTTCGCTCGTCACGCCGAAGGCCCGGGTTCGATTCCCCACATGGGTACAACTTGTGAAGCCCATTTCTGGTGTCCCCCGCCGTGATATTGCTGGAATATTGCTTAAAACGGCGTAAAACCATACTCAGCCAGTCAGCCTTTCCAGTTTCATTTTCGTCAACACGGGTGTATCCTTTCTGTTCTCCACTTTGTTACTGTGTGCGAAGTTAATATACGAAGAACTTGTGATAGAAGAGCAGAAAGAGCAAGACCATAAAGACAAACTGTGAATTGTTTCTGGGGAGATCTGCATCCATGTGAAAACGTTATACTGTATAAACGGCGCCCTTCAGATAATCAGTTCAACCCAATGACCGATATTATGAGCAACTGCCAAAGCCGTCGGTGTATGTGGACAAACTTTAAACCAGGCCGAAGAACTTGATCAGTCGGTCCAACCCGGTTCAAAATATAGTCAATTATATATATTTTATGTTTTGTTATAAACTCGGTTCAATTAAGCAGTATGTAAAGCCCAAACTATCCGGCATGGAATGTTTATTTCGAATTTAAGAATAGTTTCATATTGTACACACAATGTACACACCGGTTTGTAAGTTACTTTCATAGTCTGAAAATGAAGAAAGTCTCAGGGCGCATTTTCATTATATTTTATTTTTTTTGCTAAGAGCTATTTTTCTGTAAAATATGTTCATTTCATATACTAGTTGTTAGTCTAGATTCTTTCATAAACACCATCTTTAGCTGAATCAGCACAACTGAGTCTTTTGAGCTCCTCTCGATGTAACAGATGGATGTTTTATGAGCGCTTGATGTTTAGCCATTTTGCACTGGGAAGATTGGTAATGCATGTCATACTTTTATTGGAATGACGTCAATTGCCCATAAAGCAATGATTTAAAGGATTGTGTTATTGGTCCAAGGCTATATAGGTAACGGGCTGCGGTTCTGTGCTCAGGAATCTCCTCCGGGTATAGCATACAACCAAGAATGTCCAGGCTCGGACCAGACTGACACGTGTCCATACAATGCTGAGTTCTCCTTCTGGGCAATGGCGTCCTCAAACGTACGTACATCTTGACGAAAACAAATACCATATATACATATATAACTAAAAGGCGGTAGACTTCTGTTATTTACCCGAAATAGCAACGTCGTCACTGTGTAGTCAATGACTTATAAATACCCTATCAACGTCGTTCAATGTATTGTTCTACGTCATGTATGTGTTATGGTTAAGTTATATCACTTACTTTTATGTCTAATGTATTTATGTTTTGAGAGTGTTGTTACAGTTTCTGCTTGTGTTATCATTGACGTTTGGTAATATTGACCTGTGCTAACTGTGATTTAGCACGTGTTACCATTGACCTTTGTAATGGTGTGTTATCATTGTCCCATGACCCGTGACGACCCAAGTTACATCTGGTCTTCAGCAACCCATGCTTATCACTGACTGACTGACTGAGTTTGGTTTTACGCCGCTTTTAGCAATATTCCAGCAACATCACGGCGGGGAACACCAGAAATGGGCTTCACAAATTGTACCCATGTGGGGATTCGAACCCGGGTCTTCGGCGTGACGAGCCAACGCTTTAACCACTAGGCTACCCCACCGCCCCCTTATCAAAGGAGGCGACTAACGGCATCGGGAGGTCAGGGTCGCCGACTTGGTTCATGCATGGCATTGTATCCCAACTACGTAGATCGATGCTCATGATATCAGTCACTTGATTGTCTGGTCCACACCGCCGTCATATAGCCGGAATATTGCTGAGTGCGGCGTTTAACACACCACACAAACAGACAGTAACATTTACTATGCATATGTCAATATACATGTATATTTTCGTGTGACCGTCTTTTGTAATGTAAAGTCTGGGAATAGGGTCCCCACATTATACAAACCATACTGTACATTTCAGTTCGCATCCAATGCTTCTGGAGACGTATACCTCATGTTGAACGCAAGTCAGGCCAAGGCGTTCTACAATACATCGTAAGTCATCACGCTATCTTGTGACTTAAGGTTAATACAGATTCTGATGGTCAAACTGAGGTAAACGGAAAGTACTAATGATAGACGGCAGATCACAGACTTATTACTGACGGGCTTGTTCCTTTATTTCAGTTTCTTTGGAGTGTGGGAGTTACCTAATTTAAATTCCAGCAAGGTGACAAAGGCCAATGTTCTGCTGGTGCACATCCCAGGACAAACTGTCAGGTAGATATGGAGTGAGTGAGGTAGTGAGTGAGGAATATATGTGAGTTGAGTGACTTAATGAGTGATATAAACGAGTTGAGTGAGTCAGAGAGTAATGATATAAATGAATTGAGCGAGTTAGTGAGTGAATGAGTGAGTAAGTAATATAAATGAGTTGAGTGAGTTAGTGAGACAATAATATTAATGAGTTGAGTGAGTTATTGAGTAAGTAATATAAATGAGTTGAGTGAGTTAGTAAGACAATGAGTAAGCGAGTCAGTATTATAAACGAGTTGAGTTAATGAGTCAGCCAGTGAAATAAATGCGTTGAGTGAGTGAGTGAGTGAGTCAATAATATTAATGAGTTGAGTGAGCTATTGAGTGAGTGATATAAATGAATTGGGTGAGTTAGTTAATGAATGAGCTAGTAATATATGGGTTCAGCTTTTGAGTGAGTGACATGAGTTGAACCGTGTATGATAGGGAGAATTAGTGGAGTCTGAAGACTATCTGTCTGTCTGTCTGTCTGTCTGAAGAGACATAAACCTACACAGCCAGTAGCGCTGATCACTGTGTAACCTGTATGAAACACACACAACAATCAGCCGCCATCATCCAACCAGGTTCAGCATCAGAATCTTAGAGGTTGGTTAGGGCAGTTGGCACACTCCTCTTGTATGAGGTGAGGGGAGGTGAAATTGGGTTTTACGTCGTGCTTGAGAATATTTCGCTCATATGACGACGTGCATGCGTGTGTATGTGTATGTGCGGCTGCTTGTACTAGCCCAGACAGAAGCTGGTTTTATAGTGCTAGCCCACTGAGATACCATGCCGCAGTGAAGCATGAATACCCCACTCAGACACATTATACTGACTCCGAGCCGAGCGCCAGACAGGGACCAACAAGTACCATATTTTAACGTCTTTTGGTATGACGCGGTCGGGGATCGAACCCACGACCTTCCGCTCTCCGGGCGGACGCTCTAACCACTACACCACGGAGGCGGTCCTCTTGTATGAGAATATAAGTATCTGCCATCCTTTTTATCTAACATACAGGTCAAAGTGCAGTAGTGAGAACATCGCTTTATTACAACGGAGACTAAGAGAGAGAAACATCGACTCTTCTTGCGAGGACAGCCCAAGGTAAGTCGGTGTTTACTAAACACAGGTTTTAGAATTAACCAAGGTTAAATTTTGTCTTCACCATCTCATGTTTGTTAGGGATGACTAACGGATAGGGTGGTCCGGCTCACTTGGTTGACACATGTCATTGTATCCAAATTGCAAAGATCGATGCGCACGATGTTGTTGATTACTGGATTGTCTGGTCCACACTTGATTATTTACAGACCGCTGCCATATAGTTGGAATATTGCTGAGCGGCGTTAAACAACAAACAAACAAATTAAAGATATTTCAATTCAAGTTGTTCTGACCAGATCGTATCAAGAGCTTCATACTTGTCAACCGGAGCAAAGTGAAGTGAGGAAATTATCAAATGGCATGCACTGTTAGTATTGTTGTATGCAAACAAAACATTTAGCATTACGTATTCTGTGAATCTACTCCAAATACCGGTGAGGCCGCTTGTGGTGTCAAGGCAACCCCGATGAATGTGTAGTGTGGTATTTTACTCCACATTACGAAGTACTAGTAAGCGCTATCAATGTGAAATGTTGTCATTTTTCAATAATATTTGTCATTCAGAACCTTCTATAATTTTGTTTTCGGCTTCTTTGTTACCCGGGGCGGTTGGGTAGCCTAATGGTTAAAGCGTTGACTCGTCACGCCGAAGACCGGGATTCGAATCCCCACATGGGTACAATGTGTGAAGCCCATTTCTGGTGTCCCCCGCCGTGATGTTGCTGGAATATTGCTAAAAGCGGCGTAAAACCAAACTCAGTCAGTCAGCCTTTGTTACCCAGGGGCGGTGGGAACCTCGTAGCTAAAGCGTTCGCTCTTTACGCTGAAGACCCGGGTTCGATTCATTCCCCACATGGGTCTAGTGCGCTAACCTCATTTTTGATGTCCCCCGCCGTGATATTGATGGAATATTGCTAAAAGCGGCGTAAAACTAAGCTCACTCACTTGATACCCTTGTATGATTTTCAGATTATGTTAAACAATCTTTTTTGACCTCATCATGCTTCAAAATTTTCAGACCCGTGAATTGAACTGATCTTCAGTAACCCATGCTTGTCGTAAGAGGCGACTAACGGGATCCGGTGGTCAGGCTCGCTGACTTGGTTGACATGTCATCAGTTCCCGATTGCGCAGATCGATGCTCATGGTGTTGTTCACTGGATTGTCTGGTCCAGACTCGATGAATTACAGACCGCCATATAGCTGGAATATTGCTGAGTGCGGCGTAGAACTAAACTCACTCACTCACTAACCACTAGGCTACCCCACCGTCCCTCTAAAATATGATAAAGTGATGATACAGAAAGAGTCAAAGGTATCAAAATCTTAAGAAAAGCAAGGTTTATGGATATCAACTTCTTTATTGTGAATAACACGACATTTCGGAGTGTATGCTTGCTCTTTCATCACCTGATTTGTGTACTCTTTCCAGAATGTCATCATCTTAAAAGGATTTTAAAAAAATCTTTGAAGGGCATTTAGAAATGGAATGCATAAGAAAAGCAAGATTTATGGATGTCAACTTCTTTACTGTGAATAACACAACATTTCAGAGTGTAAGCTTGCTCCTTACAAACTATGAAAATCGTATTAATATGATGAGACTTTTGAAAGAGTATACACATTGTCATTCCCTAAAGTAACATTAGGAAAAGGACAGAGTATGACTAAATTCACTCACTCACTCAAAAGTTTCATACGAAATCAGAAAATGTCTGAGTAAATTCACAAATAACATTTATAGGAATTCTACGGATTTTTGCATTTTTCAACTTGCAGCACCATGATATCATCTTCCATTTTACATCTCAGAAATACGAGCAGGGTATTCGGTGCCAATGTGGAACTGACATGTTGTGCCATACGAAGTTTCCAAACAATACAATAATATTGCCGAATAATTTATCAAATCTTTTCAGGGGCCCCCAAGCTATGCTGTGTGTGGACTATCCTAATGAAAAGGAATGTCAAGTGAAAGTATCTACTAACGGCGCATCCATTAACAACGATGCAATTACAGGATTCTACATTTGTCTCACCGTCATTTCTTTTATAAGGAATTTAAATGTTTTCGATTGCGATGCCTCTCTGTCCGTTTAACTCATTGATGTTTTTCATGGCCAATAAACACTTTGTATTATCATTTTCATTAAGCAACTGAAATATTAATTCAGAAAAATCCATCAGTAAAATTTATTGATAACGGTATCAGTGTTGTGTTAAAACGTCTTCAAACAACTGAAACATCTCCAGGAGCACCGTATCCATTTGAACACAACCAGTTATGAGTGGCACACCAGTCGGTCTACGCCGTATGTGAACGATGACAATTGGCCAGACTACATTTTTTTTATATATTTTTTTTATTCCAGCATAATGAGTACATACACATGGGTACGAACAGGCATCAGCTTGTCGTACAAGCTTTATAACAAAGGTGACTACATTAATCAAAATCCTGCAATCTTACAACCAACGTGGGCTATGGAGATCTATTTTTGACCGAGAATCGTCTCTGGCCTGATAACATTGATGTAACTCAAAGGGTGTTATTTTCTCCAGAATCCTCCACGGACTTTATTCAATGAGGAAGGTGATATTACCAACCTAACTGTTGAAGACAAAATATCCAACTGACATGAATAATGATAGCTTACCTTTGCAACAGACATGGGCATATCAGTGACGACCCGGGGTACAGCTGATCTCCAGTAACCATGCTTGTCGTACGAGCCGAGTAACGGGATCGGGTGGTCAACCTCACTGACTTGGTTGACTCATGTCATCGTATCCCAATTGCGTAGATCGATGCTCATACTGTTGATCACTGGATTGTCACATTCGATTATTTTGCAGACCGCCGCCATATAGCTGGAATATTGCTGAGCGCGGAGTTAAACACCAAACAAAATACAAAAAAGACATGGTCGTGATATAAATGTATGTTATATTCCACATGTAACTTATATTTTCGAAAACTGAAAATTAATCAAGAGCGTGAGCGAAATGCACACATCAATTACAATGAACTAAACTGTTGCTCTTCTGGCTACTCCAACTGAGTACCCTTTTACCAACATTCAAATATTGAAATGATATTTTACTTATTAATTAATGAAATACGAGGGGCTATAAATAGGTTTTGGGCCTAAAATACTTCTGATACGTGGATGATAAAGATAATTGTAAACCAAAAGTCACCATGTTCTTTATTCTGATTGGTTGAAAAACATGATCGAATGGTAAAGGTGGTGAGGTAACATTCCACAATTCCATACAATTGAGGACAGCAAGTCTACCAGAGTTCTTCTCACATACTTTAGCCATGCTACTGAAGGTAACGGAATCGGTAATCATTTTAACATGCATGCCAGTGTCGTTAATCCTTTGAGATTTCAGACATCTATCTGAAAATGTGGAATATGACATTATTACTTCTCGGTGTTCTTCTCAGCCTTCCGTAATCCACTAGGACTCGGCTCTCCACAATCCACTGCAACAAGCAGGAATTGATAAAAGAGCAAGATTAGTACTATCAAATAATTGAATAGACCTCGAAAGCTTCCCTTATTCAAAAGCCAGTACCAGGCCTCAAGTCAGTCCCCTTTGAGTTAATTATCAGGTTACATGTTGGTTATCATATTTTGGAGTTTGGGAGGAATGTTTGGAATCTTGAACATACATCTTGGGAAACAGGTGACAGCAGTAATATGCAGAGCAATGTGCATCAAGAAACCTGATGTCAGGTCACTTGCGGAATTGGCTTTGGGGAGCGAGGTATAATGATAACCTAATAAATATACAACTTTGTTTCATCGATAATTTATATCATAATGATAGGGGATTTATGTATCTGATTTATGTTTTGGATTGTTTGATGTATTTCAAAGGCAATTAGCCTAGGGGGCAGTTGTCCTGGGGGCACTATGGACGAGGGGAGATAGCCAGGGGGCAGCTGTCGGGGGGCAGTTGTCCGGGGGGCAGTTAGCCTGATACCTCAAAAAGAGTGTTCCACAGACCTGTTTCGTCTATAGGGTAATAGCATTCACTCCACTCCCCATTCGCTTTGCATGTTCGAGTACTGTTGATAAAGATGTTTGAGCTCTTCACGTCTATTGTGGTTCCAGTGGGCACAAGGCGACCGTTGTCCATGTCCTCCCTCTCACAGTATTATGTGAAGTTAGGTAAAGAGAGGCATTGGAATATTTCAAATACACCTTCATACACCAGGCAGGTTGTGAATATCTGTATGCACAGGGCTGGCGTTGTTTTATTTGTGTCGGATAAAAAGGTCGTAAATCATACTGCAACAGCTATTGTTCTCGTATAGTCACCAGATTGTATTCGAATTTACAACCTTTACTACGAAGCCACACTACAGAATAAATCTCTCCAAACGGTTTCATCTGTATGCAAATGAGTCTGCACTATGTACATGCTTGGTACATGTATCTTACCATCACCTGGTTCAAATGTTGAACAGCTGGTCAAAAGCCATGGCAATCAGGTAAAACACACAGAATTACTTGTTGAGACAAACCATGATACTCATACAAATAGTGTAAATGCAAGATACATATGTTTCATTTTTTCTGTGCACATTTCCCTCCTGCAGATATTTTCACATAATTTTCATTTGCATATTTCATGCATTATAAACGTCTTCCTAATCTGTACTGTCTCCGTAGCACAGTGCAGCTCTTACTTCATCCTAGTATCAGATATTACCTCCTTTGTTAGTAACCCAGCCAGCTAGGGTTCAATCCCAGCTTTCTAATAAAACTTTTGCAGATTTGTTATGTTTCATATCCCATAGTACCACTTTCCTGTCATGTGACCATAAAAAGCACATGTGATACTGGAACCCCATGCCTCAGTGTGTTAGCAGCCTCCATACCGTCAAGAGGTCTCCTCTGACTGTTAATCTCAATGAAGCACACAGGAAGACAAATGTAAGTCTTGCATCTTTATTATTTCACAGTTACTATTCTATTTTGCATAAATATAATGTTTAATAGTCTTCTTTGAAGTTCATGGCCTCATAATGTTATTGTTACATGCAATATTTTCTGAAAGTGTTCAAATAATCTTCAAAGGTTTTCAAAGTTTTAAACATGAATTTAGATGATATTTTGTCAACGCATTGTATTATATAGTCAAATTATATTACAAATTGTTTCTGTATTCTAGTTTTCCAAACCTAATCCACTCGTCTATTTAGCCACACACTATGGCTAACGACCAACGTCCAACGTGTATTTTACATTTGTCACCGTACATCAACGCATAACGTATCATTGTTTACCATCAAAGAATAAAACCCTGTGGATGCGAGTTCTTGGTGATTTGTCATTCTTGCGTCTACAAATAGAATGGCTTGAAGATATCAAAATGAAATATAAACAGAACTGTCATTACATACTACACTGAATGCATTACAATTGACAAACTAATGTATTGGTAAATAATAATGCACACAGAATTTGGGGGATTTGTATGCATAGCTTTGACAGATGTCAAAGAGAAGAAAAATTTATATAATTTTAAACAAATAATCCTAAGGATTAAGGAAACACATTTTGAGAATTTTAATGCCTAAACGATTCAGTGTAACTAAACATAAACATTACGTATTCATCAGAGAAGGGTCAGGTTAGAATATCCGACGAAGCAGATTCCATGTTGTTATGCAATCATTTTCCAGTTGGAGTGAAGCCAGTTCTCTAAATCCGAATTCCACAGCAAACGTAGGGGTACGTTTTAATTTAAAACACTTTCCCAAACCTGGTTTCTTGACAGGTCGATGATATTGTATATTTTGTTTTTGCATCACCAATTGTTTGACATGATAACACTAATGTCCAAGTCGACGGTGATGGGATAAAAACAAACGGAGACGTTCCCCGTGTAGCTTTAGGAGCCGGCCATCCAACGCCATACAACACGTGCGTGTAACGCGACGGATGCAGCTCCCAAGGGGGTCGTGCTGAAATCCGTGTAACAATCTGGGAGGACTCAAACACAACACTACCAGAAAGTATACTATCCCAAACACAGCATTTGTTATATTTGAACATTTTCTGAAAGAAACTGTGCTCATTCATAACCTGTGATGCTTCAGACACTTCAGACAATACGAGGGTTACTGAATGTGAAAGACAATTCGACCAAACCCCAAACAGAATGAAATGTTGAATATTGTGCCCTGGTGGTCAAGGAAACGGATATGTGCATGTGATCTGCCATACTCAGAATTAATCCTGACTCCACTTCATAGCTATTGTAAAGTCAGAGAAGATGTTGGAAATGTACAGGTCGACAACGGACGGTCGGACAACGGACAATGTACCATGATAAGTTTAGAGAATGCTCACTGAAATTTCATCTTCTGATGAAAATATGTTTCATATTCGTTACATGTACTCACGTCAGCAGGCAAGGCATACACGCCATCTTTTCCGCTTTCCCCTTTTCTCTAGGAATTCACAGTTCAATTGTATTTCGTCAAACCTGACATTTGTAGCATCGAAGCTATAGATAAATAAATACATTCCGATCAGTCACATTAACTGATTTCTCCAAGCCAGACTGTCCCTTCTACCTTGTGACAGTTATATGGCATAGCTCTGACTCGCATTATGCAGATATCGGGGAATAGGAGCGACCAAAGTGTTGTAATGTTTATACACTATGGAATCTTAACTCAGAAATTACAGTAACCTTACAGCAAGTAGATCTACACGCATCAGAGCGTCCACCTGCCCCCTGGTCAAGAAAGGCATCGGTTATGAGTATCAGGATTATTTATGCAAAAGTTCCACCACTTCATAGATATTGTAACGTCAAAGTAGATGTTTGAAATGTGAAGGTCGACAAAGCTCGGTCGGACAACGGACAATGCACCATGAAGTAAAGTTAACGACGTTCGGTGTTGTGAGTTAATGATCACTGAAATTTCATCGTAGATAATGGTATGAATTGTCAGTGTGAAAATATGTTTAATCTTCGTTACAAGTACTCACGTCAGCAGGCAAGGCATACACGCCAGCTTTCCCGCTTTCCCCTTTCTCTAGGAATTCACAGTTCAATTGTATTTCGTCAAACCTCACATAGTTGCACTATCTGAAAGAAGCACATTTTGCCAAGCAC